GAGAGAGAGAGAGAGAGAGTCTCCCTCAGAACCCCCCTGCTCCGGTGCTCCCGCCGAAAACTCGCGGGGGCGCCTCCAGGACCTGATCGCAGCGCCGTGTTGCAGAGAGAGAGAGAGAGCGGGCAAAAGCCGAAGAACTTTTTCGCCCTCCAAAAAAGGGGCCTTGGGCTTGGCCGCCACCTTCTTCATCAGACCAACAAACTCGGAGTCGATGGTCTTGAAGCCTTGACTTCGTGGAGGGCTGAAAGCACGGTAGGAAGCTGGAGGATGTTGGGTTGCCGGCGGGCGAACTCGTTGGGGAGCAGCTGCTGGATGTCCGCGCTGCTGCCGAAGATTCCCTCCAAGTAGACCCACCGTCTTTGCACGTCCATCCACAAGTCAAAGACAATGCGAATCTTGTTCAGCCTGTCCTCACGGCATCCGGCGTTCAAGTTGGGCTTTGCTTCGGTTCTCTCCGAGGTGCCGGCATCCCAAGTGGCGCCTTCATCTTCGAAGGACTTGTAGTACGGAGACATCTTCATCGACTGAATGCTCCTCGACAAAGACAAGAAGGATCCTGGAGAAATGCTGTGAAACGGATGGAAGTGAGAAAGTTCAAAAAGCCCCGTGTCGAGGTGCTGGAGGTGCTCATCCAGCTGGCTAAACAGGTCATCCTCAGAATAGATGGACATGTACACTGCTGGATCTTTCCCGGATGGTGGTGCCGATCCGCCGCTTAGAGCCAGACCCAAGAACGGATCAGCCGGCACTTGCTCTTGTAGGGCACGAGTTCCAAACTGCAGACGGGCTTTTTTCATGCAGCCTCTTGGCGGCTTCTTATCCAAGGTCGATACTCGTAGTTGCTCCATTTCTCTCGAACCTTTGCAGAACGATGCCCTAGGACTAGGACCTCTGAGGACCTGCAGAGCAGGACCGAGCCTCGGCCAGGAACTGTTCCAGGCCCATTTCGCCCTGTGCCCTGGCGAGCATCTCCTTGATGGCTGGCTGGTGCTTCTCCAGGTTGGAGTCCCAGAGATGGCCCAGCCTCGAAAACGCGCGACCAAGACTCTCCAACACTCCAAAGGAGCTGTGCAGCAGCTTGGAGCTGCTTGGTGCTGCTTGGCACGCGGCGTCAGCTCATTGAAGCCAACCGAAAGCTTGAGCATTTGGACCTGCGCAGGGGCGTCCGCGCAGTCAAAGCAGCCCGGGAGTGGCTGCAGTAGCCAAGTGGCGATTTGCTTCCAGTGACGCTCCTTGAGCGCATCCGTCTTCAGCTCTGCCACGACCTCGAAGTCAAGACGAAGCAAAAGCTTCCGTTGTACCCGAAGCACAATGCTCGGCGCCTGGTTCAGCTTTATTTGAGCCTGAAGTTGCTCCTGGATGTGGTCGAATGCCTTCGAGAACAAAGGCAGCTGTAGGAATGGAGAGCTTTCCAACTTTCCCGATTCCCCCTCCACAGACGCCACCGACTACACGAAGATCTTGAATCCTCGACTCTTCATCTGGAGTCTGACCTCGTACTGCTGCAGCCGCCGGTCCATCTGCTTCATATTCGAAAGCAGGTCCTGCAAAGTGGAAGCAGAAGTCCGATTTGCGCAAGCGATCTGTCGCGACCTCCAATGCGTGCTTGATGCGCTTGGGCTCCACTGCAGTCCACAAAGTCTCCTGAAATTGCTGGCCACTGCGTAAGATGCCATGGGCTATGCGACATGCAGTGACATGCAGCCTTCAACGTCTCCACTCGGCTGTGCACCGTATTGATCTCGGACCTAGCCAAAAACGTCAAGGATGCAGGTCTGCCTCGCTTGACCTTTGCCACTGGCTGCGATGAACCGGGACGACTGCCACACATCCTTCAAGTTTCCCATTTCCTCGCGGGTGCAACGACCTCCCGCTCCATGACTAAGGCACGTGTCGCTGTGTCGCGTCCTCCTGCAACGGTGCCAATGCTTCCACGTCACCCACCTGAAGAGTTTCACGTCAACTGCTGTGAGCAGTTGGAATTGACCAAGCCTCCATCTGCAAGGACTTCTTCAGTTGCACGAGCTGGCTGTGCTGTTCCCGGAGCATCAAGAGGCGCTCCTAGCGGTGCAGGAAGGAGCTGAGATTTTAGAATTCTGAAAAAAACCTGATCTGAGACTCCGGCATCAAAGTCCTTAATTGCTTGCATGGCTGCGGTTGGCTTTAAGCCACCCTGAACCGGTTTCTGGCTGGACCTGGAAACACGAAATCTCGGCAAGCTAACAGTGGCTTCCTCTTTGACACATGCCGGCGAAGCCATTCTGCATAGAGCTGAGTGATGCTTTCCTCCAGCTGCTTGTCTTTCTGGACCAACACCGATCGAAGCTTCGGTAGTTCATGGTCAAGTATCTGTGACAGACAGGTTTGTAGATTTGCGGCGTTTACCGTGGACCAGCTGATGCTGCACCGAGTGCGGCGCCCGGTTGCGTCGGGTTAGGATTTGTTCGAATGCCTGGCCCAGTTTCTCCTCGCTGTGCACTAGTTGTAGAGACACTGGTTCGGCCTCCCACTCACCCTGCACTTGCTCGATGTGCATCCAATCCTGAGGTCAAACCAGAGACATCAGCTTGGGGGGCGGAGAAGCTTCCCCGTGCTTCCGCCAGATCCCATCCTCCGGAAACTGGAATCGCTGCTTCACAAGCAGCTTCTGCGCCTCTAAGGGATCGGGGTGATCACAGGACTTCACCCGGAATCCCCATCACTGCAGCTGGGGCCTTCTGCAGCTCTTCAAACTCTGGGCTCCATTTCTCGGCGCTGGTTTTCACCTTCTTTCGCATGCGCTGCCCCCGCTTCCCGTCCCTCCCTCGTCCTGGGCCTTCAGCACTGCCATGCAGACCACCTTCCCCAAAGAACAAACATAGTACATGAGAGTCTATGATAGTAAACATGATAGTAGATATGATAGTAGATATGATAGTCTATTCTAGATGATGGTCTATATTTTTGTATATGACAGTATAAATGATAGTCTATATTCTGTGAAGCAAAGAAGGAAGGGCGAGCGAAAGCGAAAGCGAGGAAAAGCCGGGGCCCCTGGCCGTGAGGTCGCCGCTGCCATCGACGGCTTCCAGACGCTCCCTGCCCTGGGAGAGGACAAGATTTTGGTAGATTTTATACCTATTATTCTGGTATGTTATAGTATGTTATGGTATATTAGTGCATATTCTGTTATAGGATATTTTGTAGTATATTATGTTGTAGTATGTTGTGCTATAGTACATGCTGCTATAGTATATTATAGTATATTAAGGGTCCAGGATGGTCCCATTCAGAACGGGTTGTCTCTGGTCGGCACCTGGTTGACCTGGCGGAAGAACTCGCTCATGGCCTCCCTGACCTGAAGCGACACCGAAAAGAAGCGCTCACCGCAGTCCCCGGCATGCAGCCTTCTCGCCGAAGGAATTCAGAAGGTCACGGTGCCACTGGTCGTACTTGGCCTTGACCCTGGACTGGACCTCTCAGCGCAGCGGCGCAGTGCGGCGCTTTTTGTGAATCTGCAGCTTCAATAGAGGCGCCCCTCAGGCCTTGCTGTAGTCCACCACAATGGGGCCAAAGTACTTCTCCTCGGGTTGCACATTCTGAGGCCCGAAATGCCCGAGTCCCATTCAGGGAGGCGCCTGCTCGGAGCCTTCGAAGCGAGAGCTGAGGTACTGGATCTCGGTCAGCATGCCTCGATCGGGTGTCCGTTTCGGAGTCCCGACCAGCCAAACGTCAGTTCCGAGCCGACGGCTGTGCCATCGGCTGAGATCATCCTGCGGAGACGCGAGGTGAAGCCCCCCAGAGCCGCTGCCCGGCTCCCCGTTTCAGGCGCAGGCGCCGAGTCGTGAGAGGACCTCGCAGCCGACACCGCACAGTTCGAAGCTTCGCGCGCCAACTCAGAGACCCCGGGCCGCACTGGTGTTGATCTCCCAAAGCGACTGGTACTGCATCCAGCTTGAGACATACTCCTGCAGACGGTAAAGCCCATCCCCCCCCAAAACCCCGCCGCTTCGCCGGAGTTGCCCCCCAAAGTGGCCCAAGGACCGGCCTGCATGTCCTCCACAGTGCTGCTGACCTCGGAAAATCGGCGAAGTCTTCGTTTTCCACACGACGAAACTCATTGTAGACCGGACCAGGCCAAGAAACATGATCGTAGACCTCGATAAGGGTCTTGTGGTCCAAGAGTGCCTGAGTAAACGAAGACTCATCGCATGACTTCGACTTGGGGAGAATCTTGGAGAGGCTTGGAGCTGCACGATGAGACCCCGGTGCGTTGCAGCAGACTCCTTTGCCCCGCGCCTGAGGCAGGGAATGTAGGGAGCGGCTGTGCTATGGCAGTGCCTTTTGTGGTTTAAGGCTCCAACTTAAGAGCATCGAAGCGGGCTGCTTGGAGCAAAGGCAGGTTGCACACCATCCCCAAACCTGCCGTGCAGGCATCGCTCTGCGCTGCCAAGCCACAAAGTCTAAGCCTAAGCGCTCATGAAGCATGCCAGCTCTGCAGTCGTGGTAATGCTTCACCCAGTGCGTCATCGCAAACTCCTTCTGAGGCTCCAGAACCTTCGCGTGTTCACAGCGTCCAGCATCCCCCGTTTGTGCCCCCGCGCAAGAGCTCCGGGAAGCTGGCCAAGCGTACTCCCGAGGGGGATGTCCTTAAAAGGGGCCAAGTCGAAGTGGCAGCAGAGTCAGGCTAGACTGCGGCTAGACTGAAGAGAAAAATATTGAAAATCGAGCAGCTGCATGTGAAGCTCCAGCACTGCAAGTTGCACCGCGGATTCCTGTAAGCACAACGTCATGCCCTCATGGCATTCTCTAGATTTAGTGCTCTGCGACTGCTGCACACCCCGGCTCTCGTACGTTCCTTGCTCATCTACATGTCGGATTGGATTGACAATCAGGTGTGAGCTGCAAGCTGTGGCGGCGTGGCCATTAGGGGAACACTGCATGCTCTCGCATAGCCTGTCAATAGTGAGACACCTCTGCTCGTCCAGGTACTGGGATGACCGTGGGAAATTCGTCCACTAACCGCACTGTGAACTCCAAATCCAGCTGCATCCGGCGAGGCGTGTGGGCACCAACGAGATTTGCGGGAGGCCTGAATCAAGTTGTTGCCGTTCAATGGCCTGGGTGGAACTGGCCACTGAAGCGGGTCTCATGCAAACTTTTGGCCGTGGCGTCTTTCGCAGGTCGCTGGATCCTTTAAGGATCTTGAGGCTTTCTTAGGGCAGGACCATCTCTTGAATTCCTGCAGCCACTGAGCGCTAGTCGCCGCCAGGAGCTTAACAAGCCTCCGAAGCGAAAGGCTCTTTTGCTCCCGCCTCCCAACCCAGCCCACCCCCCGGCCTCTGTTCGATCTGTTTGTTCAGGCCTTGCACCCAAGCGTCCATGTTGGAGAAGCTCGCCAAGTTCATGTCCTTCCCGGCTACTTGCTTGAGAGACTGCGGGTTGGGGGATTCGGCAGAGCATCGGTCATCAACAGTCTTCTGCATTTTCTCGAACTTGGCCAAAAGCATCTCTTGGGCACTGCTTTCTTGCCTTCGTGCAAGGGCTCAAAATCCCAGACAAGGTTCGCACAGGGGTCATTGCCACTTCCATGTTTGCCTCACATTCACGTCGTCCAAGCTCTCAATCGTGCGGGACATCTGCTCCGCCATCGACTCGAGCTCCGTGAACCTGGCGTCTGCTCCGAAGCCCTCTTCCGAATCTGAATGAATTCCTGAGTCATGCTTGAGTCCACAGCTTCTGTTGAAACTGGAAGACAGTCTCAGAAAGCTTTTGGGTGTAGCTCTCGATCCTCAGTTCAAGCCCCTTGCAAGCTGCAGGCTGTTGCGCCATGCAGGCGAGCGTCTTCTGATCATCCCACTTGAGATGGAGACCGTCGGCTATCAAGTCCTTGAGCTAACCCGCTGCAAGTCAGGTCAGACCGTGCGCAGTTCTCTGTCTCCTGTACGCCCTTCTGAAACGAGGCCATCAGTGGTTGATGGTCCTGAGCTCCGAAACAGACTTGCTGTGCCTTGTCGATGATGGGTCGCAAAGGGCGGGGCGGCTTTGATCTGCGCACAAGTCTGCATGTACGTCCGTGCGGCCTGGATGACCATGCTGGAACGAAAGATACAGAAATCTCTGCTCTGACCCACTCCACCAGCCTCTTGCAATGTCATAGCAAAGGGATAGTTCTGCTTGGCTTCGTCAGAATTCACCTGCGAAGCTCGGCAGGATGAGTTGTCCCAGAACACGTGGTACATGACTGGCCTTGATCGCATATGGGACACGGTAATCGCCCAGAGCTTGCAAATTCCGCACCTGAGAAATTCAGAAAGAGTGACTTCTTGCCTAGGCACTGCATGCTGTCAGCCACTGTGCTTATAGACTTTTCTTGGTGCCAACACCAACTATATCAAGAGAGAGCGTCACTGCATGTCGAGAGCACTCCGAAGCGCGGCCTCCTTGAAGAGAGTGATGATCTGCTCATCGAAGTTGACCAATAGCAGGTAGGTCCTTTGCACAGGGCATGCCTACCTGGGCCAGCCGAGAGATCAGCAGACTGAGTGCAGAACTGATAGCCCTGCTGGATGTCGAAGATTCGCATGCTCACATCAAACTTCTTGGAGTCCTGTCACAATTTGTGAGTCTGTCAGGCTTCACAGACGATGCCTCGGCATATGGTAAAGACGAGGTGACATCAGAGCCTTTGTGTCAGCCAGCCACTCATCAAATATGTGGCTCGTCTTCATCCTGAACTTGGCAATGCGCAAACTTCTCTAATGCCCTGGGCGAAAAAAAATTATCACGCCCTCGCGCTACCCATCAGATCCGAGCGTCTTTCTGGCGAAAGCATCGCCCTCCTGCTTCAGATTCTTCCCATCCACATGGTTTTCCCATCCTTTGCCGAGCACATCCTCGAGGACACGACGGCAGCAGATCTCCGGCACTTTATGACTGCTGTCAACTGCACCATCGTCAAGAAAGCATCACTGCCCGACACTCGCTCATCCAGTCCCAAACCCGACAAATCCTCGACGCGGCTCATGTAAATGGCCAGGCGCCGCTCGAGCTGCCTGTTCAAAAAATGAGGGGGGCCACCAAGACGCCGGTTGAAGATTCTGTAACGCGGGCTCCGGCCTGGCCCAAACGATGAGCCCGGCCGTGGGGGGTAATCCACGGATCGCCGTGAGCTTGCAAGCCTCCCATCATGACCGCGGTCTCTGCAGCACGGCTCATCGTAGTTTCGGCGTGTAGGGGCCTGGGTGCCCTCGTAGGTCTCCTTGAACTTCTCCTGCAGGCGATGCACGTCCTCCTTCACCTGCAGCCATGGTCGAGACTCGTCCAGACTCCTAGACAGCATAATACAACCAGCACGCCAGGGAGACTCTCTCAGGCCTGTTGGATCAAAGAAGACTGGTACTCCTGCATCCGGAGCATGCGAAAAATCCGTCTGGGACATGGCCGAATCCACAGGCATGCCGCACCTGAATGGCCCTTCGAATCCGTGGACGAACAAAGAGCGCATTGAACCGGCTAAAGACGCGGAACATTTCCTGAGCTACCACTCGCGGGTTTCGTGTGATCAACGATTGGCCGTTCTGTCAGCCGGCCGTCGCAGTCTTGGCAGCTCCAAGCTTGTCGCGAAGCCTGAACGGCTTGACGCTCGCTACGAAGAGGCCGCTCAGCAACACGGAAGCCTTGCAGTGATCTCACTCTCTGCATGGTCGATACCTTGGCACTTCAGGGAGAGTCTCCCAAATGGATGCTGAACGCTGAACCGGCCGCAGGTAGGGCCACCACGCTCGTCGTAGCGACGCTGAGTGCTCTCCCACTCCTGCATGTGAGTCTACAAGCCGACATCCTCGGAACCGCGACGGTGTCCTGCTGACCCCTGCGGCTCACATCCAGAACATCCACCTCGCAGCAACACTGAAATCTGAGCCCGGATCGCCACAACGCCGCACCTGCTCGACGAGCTGGTAGGCAGCAGCAACTTCTGCCTGCAGAACGCCGAACTGCGAGAGTTCTTGAGGACAACAAACTCGGCCTTGGCACCGGTCTCCTTGCCGTCCACGAGCACCCGCTCGATGATCTCTTGAAGCTTCATGTGATGCCTGACGTGCGCCACTGACTCCAAATTCAAAAAATTCTGATCCCCGAACCGGCACCCCGAACCTCCGGAACTTCTGGAGCTCCTCGATACGTGCCTCACAAAACACTGCCGCCAAAGGAGTCATGTTTCTTCTTCCCTCCTCTCCCCCTCCAGCCTGGAGCTGCTCATGCTCACCTCTGATTTTCTCACACGTCCCCTATGCGTTCGGGGGCTCTCCCAACAGCAGAGTGCTTTTTGTTGTGCTTCTGCGGGCAAGATGCAATTGATCTTCACTGTCGGCCGCTCGTTGCCGCCTTACAGAAGTAGCGCTTGCTCAGTCCAGGTGTGAGCGAGCCGAGGCAACGGCGCTTCTTCAGCTGCTCCCTGACCAGCTGCCGAAATTGCCCCACCTTGACCGGCTTCTGAGACAAGCTCGAATTTTAACATGCCGCCTCCCAAAGCCTCATCCTTCCACACGCGGAAGAGCTCTTGGCAGTTGGACATGTTCTGGCTGAACATCTCTGCATCCTGCCGGACCGCATGCGTCGGACGTAATCTTGTGGCGCGTGCTTCTATGCAGTGCTCGGAACACCTGAACAGCCTGCCCTTCCCACAGAAGCCCCTTCTTTGGCTCCTCTCTACCCTGACAGGTTGAAGGCAGGCCAAGGGTCTCGGTAACCGTCATGGCTTCAGCACGCAAATTTTAAAAGCATGGCGTGGCAGTGCCAGTAAGGCATTCGCGCGCAGGTTGTGAGCACCATGACGGATACTGTGGTCCTCCTGAGCCCTTACTAGAGGCCTCTGGCAGCAGATTTGTTGAACCGTCTTCCGAATGGCAGTCTACTGTCAGGAAGCTCGCTCGTTTGCGCGCTTTTACGAGTTGCCATACTTGCTCGGATCGTGTCAAACTTCCCTCTTCATCGCTCAACTCGCGATGAAAGGACTGCCGTTGACTGCCCCCCACCATGTCAAGTTCTAGGCGTATTGCTTTGCGCGGCTCCCGGCCCATTGACGTTGCAAGACATGGGATCTTAGGCAGCAATGCACCCGCCCGAATCCGACTTGACGGGCATTGGCTTCCACGTGGACGTGCAGCGTAGAGGGCCTGGCAGCCCGCGTGTCTTCTAACTCTCCGTTGAGCAGCACATGCCAATCTCTCGAAAAAGAAACCTTCGGCAGCGAGAATGAGAAATTGGGCTTGCTGCCCGACTGATGTGACCCGGCCGCTTCAAGTCTGATATTGAGCGCTTCCCGACGCAAACGATCCGATACAGCCCGCTTGCCCCTCAACGGTGACTTCCCTTCACGTTTCGACAGTCGTGAGAGGTTTCTGTCATCACATAGATCTGCTATTGCGAACTTGCACAGGATGTGCTCTCTTGAAGCAAGCTAGCCACTTACTCAAGCCGTGATGTGGAGGTCGTTGTTGCTTGCGACTCGTGGGTGACTAGATGAAACGTCCCCAAGTCAAGTCGACTGTAGGACTGTAGGATCGCCGGAAAATCCACAAGGAACCGAGGTGATCAACATGCGTTTCGGCACCACCGAGATCCTGCTGCATGAGCCGCTGAGTTGACAAGATCTTCAGCAGGCGATCCTGCGGCAAGCCAAGTCCGGAAGTCATTTTTATTTATCACTTCTCGGCTCGGGCTCTGGCTGAAAGATCCCGGCTGACAGCTTCGACAAGATTGTAGGCCCTCCAGAGAGGGTACCTGGCTCGATCCACAGCTCAGGATGCCATCAGTGGCAGGGAGCTGTGCTCACTGATTTGCGTTTCGGATTCTCTTCAAATGGTTGAAGATGGTCCGCACGGCCTGCACTCTAAGCAACAAGGCTACGTCTGCACGCCAGCTCGCGTGAATTCGCATATCCCACCTGTGTCAGTTGCTCAATCGAGGATGCCTCGCAAACTCTACCACGTCACGAGAACCCAAAGCATTCTCAGTCTCCTGCCACCCCTTCCGGCTCAGTCACCAGCCACGAGTAGCTCGTTGATAGGGAAGTCCCGGAGCCTGCGATGACGAGCACGTGCTGCAATCTATTTGGCCTTGCTGTCGGACGCGCCCCCCCCTTGGGGCTGGGCAAGCTGAGGTAATTCGACACCTTCTCGATGGCCGGCTTCAGCCCCGTGTCCGCCTCGAAGGACCTCTCAAACGACGAGGCGAAGAGACGGGGGTCCCTGCGACTCTCCGAGGCCACTGCATGGTGGCCAGGAAGCGCCGCGCGCCCTCCCACAACACACCGGAAAACAAAAAATACAAACACAGAGATAGCAGGCATTCTCCTCTGTTCTGTCTGTGCCTATTCTTTTGAACTCTCTGACGTGCGGCGGACCCGCAAGAGGTTCAGAGTCAGCTGGATCTCCGGCGTCTGCAGCTGTTGCTGAGCATCATTGAGGACCTGGCACAAGCTTTCTCCTTCGCGGACTGTCGGTTTTTAAAGGCACATGATACGATAAGTTCAAGGTTCCGGCTTTCTCCATGCCGAGCCAAAAATTAATCTCTTGCATCGTGCTGCCCGTCGATGAATCTCGCTGCATCTTCGCAACCCGTTGAATTTCCTGTGGCTTGCCAGCTCGCTTCTGCTGCCCCTCCGCAACCTGCGCTTCAGCCAAACCCTGTCCTTGCTCCACTTGTTAACACCGCCTCGAGCAGTAAAGAGGACAGAGACGCGAGAACGACGACATAGTGCCGAGTGCCGTGCTTTGCAGTTGATTCTGGAAGGTCGAGTCGTTCATACGTTCCTCTCTAGTAGGTCCGATCCAGTATCTCACAGTATCTCTGTTGAAGCGCCCGCTTTCCATTGCTGTTTCGACGGCAAATGCAGAAGTTCAACCAACTACAAGCATCACATGTCTCCTTAAAGTCGTCAGTGCTTAGCTGCCTTCCTTCTGACTTCGCCTTCTCGAAGGCCTCAGCAAGCATAGACGGGTCTAGTCAGCAAGCAAAGCAGCAGGATTTGAAAGAAGTAAGCCGCAAACCTCCGCGATCTCTGGATCTATTGGAAGAGAAATGTTTTCGATATCAACGTTCTGCTGGCACTGCCTGACGTTGATTGCGCATGGCAAAGCATCGGTATGAGTCAGCTTGAGGCCAGAACATTAGCGCCATACTCAGGTCCATGATCTTGCGCATCACATTCGGGACGCCGACCTGGCCGGGCATCCGAAACCCGGGCCAACAGTTGCTCTCGGAGCTGGGAGTCTGGCCTTGAGTTCCTCACGGTCATCATCGCCAGCACCCGTCTTGTTGGCGCTTTCTGACCTTCGAGCGGCTCACGGTCAGCGCATCTCGCAAAACCGCATCGACTTCCGAAGCAAGCTAAGGCACTGCTTGGCAACCGCATTAAACAGCGGAGCAAAGCCGTTCTGAAGATAGAGGTGGACAAGCTCGAAGGGAGACCACCTAGCCGCTCTAGCCATCTTGTCTGTAGGGATCTGGTCCGACCGCTGAACTTGAAGCAAGGTTGCTCGGACTCGGCTCCCATGGTCAGTAACCTCTGCTCCCGGATTCGCAGAGGGCAGCCGCTCTGCCGAGGCATGCCGAGGCGCTGGAGGTGCGACGCAAAGTTGCCGTTGGAAGGAACGGCACCTACAAGCTAAATATGATGCAAACGCGAAAGGATGGCAGCACTGCCGGACCACTATTTCGCTTGGCCTTCTTCCAAGGTGCCTTCATAGGCCGCTCGAAAGGTCGCAGGGCTCCGTTTCAGCAAAGCCACGGCCTGAGAGAACAGCTGCGCAACATGGGGTCACAGAACCTCTGTGCTAAGCTCTGTACACACGCTTGTCTACGAAAGACAACTTCGTTCTCAGTGAGGATGGTATATTCCTTATCCTCAACATGCAAGGGATCGGAATCACACAACGTGTACAACACAGACCACGAGGGAAGCCTCAGAACTCTTGCCATCTTCCTTTTTGTCTTCTCGGTCAACCTGATGGCAACGGGCGGTGTCTACACGAGGTGTACCCGATGAGGCCCATAGGACTAGGATCCGGACCAGCTCGCGAGCAATGAAAAAGGTAGTGTCTTGGTCATCATAGATGAAGTGGCGCACCTTGTTCATCATCTCCAAGCTGGCGAAATGTCTCGAGATCTCATCCTGAAGGATGGGAAATGAGAGACGCGATGAAATCACACGCATGCTTGCGTGGAAATCTGGCAAACGAGGAAACACCGCCTTCGGAGCTCCCAGAATCGCTGGGCACACATTGTTTAGGAACTCGATGAACGGTCCAGGGTTGATTTTGGTGTGTTCGCCCATCGCGAAGCTCAAGCCAAGCGCATGCTGCCACTTTGGGCTGCAATAAAGAAAATCTGTGCCACAAGGTTTGCTGAAGAGCGTACTAGGTGTGGGCATAACTAGGTGTTGTTCTCTTTCTCCAACTGCTCAACGGGATCTTAACAAAAGAAGAAGGCCGGAACCCTTTACCGGATCATTACATGCACTCATTAAAATCATTACGAGGTGATCAACAAGTGGGTGGCATGCACCTGGTGTCGCTGCAATGATTCCTGCGTTTTACTAAGACTCCATAATAATGGCTGCAGCGACAAACACGGCATCTGCTCAGAGTCATCGAACAGGCTCGAAACTGTTTTTGCTTGCACGACAAATTCCCACGAACATGTATCTTTCAAAACTCGCGCCACTCATGACGGATTCACATGGACTCCCATGCTTTTGATGCCCAACAATTTCCAAGAACCCTGAATCACTGCCCGCTTCCGAAGAAAGGAGCCCACAAAAACTTCCAGGCTGTTGGTCCATTCACCGAACAACCCCTCACTTAGCTGATCACGGGATCAGCAAGCACACGTCTAATCGTTTCGCACATGTCGCGTGTAGCTGACGGTACTATGTCCATAAGCGGAACAGCCTGAATGCACGCGCTTTTTCACTTGAGCCAAACGACGGTTTGTAAGTATACGCTAGCTACATCTTGCACAAAATACACCCCCCGCGCATGTAAGTGCAGCGGTAGAAGCGAAGGCACAGGCGTAAGGAAAGACTAATTGTTAAGCCGTCGTGTGTCATCACTTTGCGACAACAACAAAATATCAAACTTGCAGAACAATTGAGCAGGCCGTGTTTCACCCTGCATGCCAGGTGAGAACATGAAATTTGATCGGACCAATTCATGCCAGGGTCTCGCCTCAGCTTCGGACGAGAAGGAACACCTGACCCGGATTTGGGATTTAAGGATTCAGGGATTCACATCTGTCACAGACTGTACACAAGTGCACAACGACCAAGACTGGGCCCTCATCATCCCCTGCTGCAACCGCTTGCTCCTCAGCACCAGAAGCCTCGTGGCCCTTGCCCTCCTCCTGGTCCGATGAGTGTGCTTCATCACCGCTGCCCTGCACCAGCTGCGATGCTTGTCCGGTGTCCCCATCACTGCCCTCCCTGGTTCGATGCGCATGCCTCATCACCGCTGCCTTGCTCCATATGCGAGGCTTGGCTGGCCTCATCACCGCCCTTTATGTTTCCAAAAACAAACCGTGCCGAAAGTCTCTCCAGTGATATGTCGGAATAATCAATATTAATAATATTCTTCGAATCCAATCAATGATCTCTGATGTTCGTTTCTTTTCCTTTGCACAGTCCCAGGTCTTGCAAGAAGGGGAAAGTTTCGTCGAGCCTCCCGGCCGCCTCAAACGGCCGGGCTAGGCGAAAAAACCACTCCATGGCCCCAAAAGCCATGCAACGTGCAAGAGTGCCGACAGCACCAACACCCCACAAAAACGGGCAGGGAGGGCGGGCAAATCTTCTCAAGCTCGCGAGCCCAAACCTTGGGCAAAGAGCATGGTGAAGATTCCAGGGATTCCACACATGAAAATATGTATAAAAGAAAATCACGAGAAACTTTCAAAAGGCAAAACCAAAAGGTTCTTGAAATGTTGTGTTTGGGAAAATAAGGTGATTGTCACCTGCGGTGAAATGTCACTTATGTTTCCAAACACAAACCGTGCCGAAAGTCTCTCCAGTGATATGTCGGAATAATCAGTATTAATAATATTCTTCGAATCCAATCAATGATCTCTGATGTTCGTTTCTTTTCCTTTGCACAGTCCCAGGTCTTGCAAGAAGGGGAAAGCTTCGTCGAGCCTCCCGGCCGCCTCACCCCGCTTCCATAACGAGGCTCGCGACCCAGTCATCATTTAACATGACTCTTGCAGCACCCAGCCTGTGCAAACGGTCAAAAGAAAAAAGGCTCGGATCATCGGCGATGTTGGCATGAGAAGGAACGCGAGCGTACCAGGCGTGCTGGCCTAGCTCACACTCGACCCTTGCCGCTTTGGAAATGATACGGTCTGCGGTAGGTTTACCGCCAGAGCCCTTGATCTTTCCAACGCGCGCAGGTTCGCTGTCAAGGTAATAAACAACTTGTTGGGAGGCGCACAGACTGCCCCCAAATATGCATGGCAATCAGCACTGGCAGTAACTCAAGCTCATAAATCGGATGCACGGAAGTCTTAAGCATACTGCACATGGCCTGCTTGTTGACCTCTCCTGCAAAGTACGCTGAGCAAGCGCCTGTCGAGTTGACGAGCAATCCTCCAAAGGTACCTCTACCTTGCTCAAAAGCCCCATCTGTGAAGATGAAAGACGTTCGCAGCGAAACAGCAGAAATGGTGACGGGCAGAGCTGCTTGATCCTCAGCTTGACCGCCTGGAGAGCCCAAGCAACATCAGCTGACAGCTGAACAAACAGCGCCGCCTGACCCGAGAGCATGCCGACAAATGTGCTTGATCGCCACTTGAGACACTCTACCGAAAGTGAAGCCTTCAAAGAATACAAGCCTGCCTCGCAATCTCTCTGCGTCCTTGGCAGTCATGCATCGACTTGCCAAGAAAGAGTCCACTGTCTCGGAGAGTTCTACTTTTCTTGCAGCAGTGTGGCCCACGACGACTGATCCACGGGCTGCACAAGTCATGTCCACATTGACTCCAAGTGCAGCAAAAGGGGTCCCTAACGGGTGAACATCCCATGTACAATCGATTGGCAGGCTGTTGGCCCCCAGCAGAACAGGTTCGTCAGATCCGGGGCGGTTGACTGCCATTCTCAAAAGATCCCTCGTAAAGTTGTCAATGCCGAACTGTCTGTAAGCGGCCTGAAGATCATAGGTACGTCCGACCCACTTGCACAAAGCTTTGCCTCCACAGAGCTCCAAGGCTCGTCGCAGCATCGAAGCTCAGATGTCGATGGAACGCACACGCATCTTATCTGGCAGTCCAACGGCACAGTTCAACCCGCCAACACTGCAGTCATCAATCGTTCTCAGCTTGAGCTTCTGCAAGAGTCCAAAGCGGTGAGCAATGATCTTTCCCTTCCAGGATCCAGATGCATCTATCCAGAACCATCCTTTGGCAAGCTCCTCTTCCGTCTCCTTCCAGGTTTTCTCTTCGACCTCCTGATCCTGGTGTTTGGCAAGGTGTCTTCGGACCAGAGCTTGGAAACCCTTGTTCATCGCAAGCACCGTGTTGACAGACATAGTCGGGGGTCGAGCTCGCGGTTGAAAAACCTGAGACGGAGTCATCCAACCTGTCAGCAGCAGACCAGATTCAACTTCATCCAGGATGCATGTATCAGGATATCCGATCTCTGCTAAGATCTCCTTCCACAAAAGGATGCGCTTTCCTGCAAGCAGCTGTCGGAGGTGTGCTGGTCGCCTCGCGTTCGCTAGGGCCTAGGGCCTTCGCCTTGTCAAGGGATCGAGCTCGCAATCGTGAAAGGCCACAAAAAGGATTCGGTCTCCCTTCCAGTCCTCAGTTGAGTGAAGCTTGGATGCATCGAGCTTCGCCGGTGCCATGCTGACCTCAAGGACTCAAGGAAGACGGGGTCTTCCGAGCTATCGCTGGCCGAGACTTTCACAGAGCCGCCGCTGAAATCGGAGCACGGCACCAATATATTTGGCACTCCCTGGGATTGTTAACGTCACGGTGCGGGGAAGTCTTAAGGTTCTTAAACAACCCTACCGAGGAGAAAGCGAAAACCGCAGTAACCAGGGACGCTCACAACCGCATCAGGGATCTCTCCAAGATCCACTGAAACAGCACTTGCATCATTGCCCGGGAGGGCATCAGGCCCTAGTCAAGCCGCCTGGGCAGCCTTCGACTTGCAATTGAGCACAGAATGCCCAGGCTTGTGGCACGCTGCACAGATGTAAAGCCCACGGGCACATTTCCTGAACCCTGACTTAGGATCCTTGCCAGTCTTAAGATCACAACCATCCTCAAGGTTGCAACCCCAGCAAAGATTGCCCCACTTGGTGCACGTATCATACGGCTTCAGCGCCTCAGGCTTGTCCTTGGGGCCGCCTCGACGCTTTGCAAGCTCCTTCGCATGTGCACTGGGCTTTGGCTTGGTAGGATCATCGTCGGCACTCGGAGGAGATATCCTTATCCTTGTCCTTGCCTTTGCCCCCACCCTTCGGTGGCTTGATCATGGGAAGCAGAAACTGTTGCACACGCTGATCATAAGACAGCCTGGAAAGCAGGCTATCGAGCGGCAGCTCACCTGCTTCATTTCCCTTGAAGGTCTTCAGATTTTCACGTGACATCAGCAAGAACAACTCCTTGTCAGCACGTATGCACTGCATCACACTCAACAGGAGTTGACTGATGCCCCATCTTCACGACGTTATGCTCGGCCTGCAGAGTAGCAGGCTTCTCCTTGAAACCCTGAATCACCTCCACATCGCGCTTTGGGCATTTTGATGGGGCGGCCAGTACAGCACAGTGCTCTCCATCTGATGATTGCATGCATCTAACAGCTGATCAAGCTCACCTTCCATGGCAATGCCTGACAACCGGCCTTGCTGGTTCTCACGTCTTGCACGCTTCTCAGGAACCGGCAGCTTTCGCAACGGGGCACTATCAGACGACGCCTGGGTAACCATCTCCTTATACGTCTGGATGACAAGGGTTGTGGCTTCGAAGTGAAGCTGACGTATGTCAGCAAGGTCTCCTATGGATGGATCAGCCACAGCAAAGACCTTTGCAGCCAATTCTTTAAATTTATCTTCACTCGGTGACGCACTAGGCGTACCCATGGAAAAGGCCAGAGACCGATAAGTCTTGATCCTCTGGGCCGAGAGCCCATCATGAAGAGAGCCGTCCTCCCTAAGCTCTCAAAGGATGCCTCGCTTTCTACGACCGCGACATGACTTCAGCTCGAGCCCACACAAGTCCTGCCCATCGAAGTTTCCAAAGCTGGCACAACATGCGGGCCGCGACAAAATGACATGCACACGCACACACACACACACACACACTCACTCTCGGCTCGCATGAAATCTCACATGTTTGTTCGTATGCAAACTTGGAAAATACAATCTCTGAAGAAAACGCAGCTCGACAGACATGTTCCTAATGCGCACTCGGAAACTGAATGACATCCCTCAGCACTCACAGCAGCACTTTATGCTCAAGCCTGAGAGTCCATCGTGATGCGAGCGCACATGCGACACCTACTGCAAGAAGGATGGGGTTGGCCTTCCACCCTGGAGCAGCGCTCCTACGGCACGACCACACAGAAAAACATTCCTGTAGTGCTCCTGGGTCAGATGAAGCACAAAAGACTTGTCATGCACCCAGTAGCACATGCCATTCGGTGCCGGAGGCATCGAGAAAGGTGCCTGAGGTTTGCCGCTTTCATCTGCAGACGTGTCACTGCTGGAAGAGTCAGTTGTAACGCATGCATCCACTTGTAGTTCCTCTGGCTCTACTCCCAATGGGTTCACACTCGGAAGGGAAGCCTCTGACCTCGGAGTTGAGCTGCCAACGTCCTCCCATGCTTCACCCTTTATCTCGACAAGTGGCACACCACAAACACTGGACTTGAAACGTCCACTGCGAATTGCATCTGGCATAAACTCGCCGCTCCTGATCTTGCGCAGAATGCGCTCCAGCAAAAGGAGCGTGGGAGCTGCAGAGTCGCAGGAATAAGTCAAACCCATCTTGGAATCCCCAACGTGATATCCCAACAGTAAAATCTCTGAAGGTGAAGCACCAAACTTGGCTGCCCAGCTAATGCAGGTGCACTTGCAGGAATGACTCGTCAGCTTGCGGTCGGGAAGCACACTGTGTTACCGAACAACAACAAGCGTAGCCATGCCCCTGCCTCGTCCGATTCAAGCGACCTGACAGTGGGCTGCAGATCCTTGCCGGGTGCCGGCATCAACCTGTAAGATCCGTTGCGCGTAAATTTACATTTTGCATCTTTTAATTTTCACACTCTTTTGTAGTGTAAATTTCTGCAAGAAACTTACACTCTTGTAGTGTAAATTTTGGTGTGTAAATTATACGTGCATTTTTTGGGGGGTGTAAAATTTACACTACTATTTTCTGCAAAATTAGCACAATTTACTGTCACAAAAATCCTATGTTTTCCTTGTGTTTCCATGTGCTTCCCAGCGCCATTTGAC